CGCACACAGGAAGGTCAGTGGCAGGGATGAGGTTGACAGGAATGCAACTCTGTCTACATGAACCCTCTTCCCCCCTCGCCGTGTCCCCTCCTCTTCTCTCTGCGTCCACTTCAGCACCACTCCTTGTAAAGAAATTCATGTAGCATTACAGTCTTTGTAAATAGACAGATTGACAGATAGATGTGCTCCACTTTTAGGATCAGCGGATGATGTTCGAACATGTGGTTGTGTTTGTAAGTGTTATCAACAAACCTCTGAGGAATAACGAAAGATTATGTTATTTTTGAACTAAACGCTGAATCTTATGTAAGGCTCTCAGGACAACATAACCATATCATGTCTGGATTTAAGGTGTGGGAGACACTTATGATTTCACGTCGGGCGATCCTTTAGGTTCTGTTTACGTCTGAGTAGGTGGATCTGCAGGATTAGACGGAGTCATCGGCTGTTCTGGATTAAATTCACACTGTATTGTATTGCAGCCTTGCTCCCTGCTGATGTGCAGATCAGCGACTATAAAACACAAAGCCGTGCAGACCTTAAAAACCTTAAAACCTTCACCCAACTGTGGGACGAATATAGTCGTTGTCTCACAAAAGCTTTCTAATCTTGGTCGCCTCATTGTATGTCTGTCATCATGTGACATCGGCCGGCGTGGAGATGACCTATATTCACCAGCAAAACAAAAACTCTCATCTCCTCCAGAGTATTTTCTTTGAAAGTCATGAAAAAAGGAAATTGCATGTCAACATAATTCACAGGATTTAAAAGCGAAGGATTATTTTATATTGTGTTTATATTGTGAGTGTTAATCTGTACTGTGCGAGCGCCTGTTCTATCGTAAACACTCTGATTTCTATCTGATAGATAACAGGTGCTGGTCTTTTTTTTTCCTTGTGGGTTATTAACTCCCACACCAGACAGGGCGCACTCTGTGGAGCAAAAAGGCTTGCTGATCTTACGTATTCCTTGTTGCTTGTTTAATCCTCTGAAGTCGACTACTGAGCAGCTGCCAACAGATTCAGTACGCGGCCTGTCTCGGCCCAATAAAAAGGGCCCTTCTATTTGACCTGGACTCTGGTGTCTTCTCATCTTAATGTATTCAGTCTTCACAATATGGAGTAGGGTGGGCTCCTCCCCCCTTCTGTCCCTCTTGATGGAAAAGATCTCACAGTAGATGAAAAAGCTGTTACTCTGGTGGCTCCTTTGAGGTGGTGACTGCTTGTAGACTGTAGACAGATCAGCACCAAACAGTCGGAGCACAATGCAGCAGAGTTGACAGCTGGTTGGCATGGTGATGACAGCATAAGTGGGATCCATTAGGACGAGATGAGGGGCAGTTCTAGTTGTTAATGAGAGGACTCTCACAGATTTGGTCCTTTGAGCAGGCCTTTGCGCCTCTTCTGCGACTTGGAGAGCCGGCTTTCAACACAACGTTTTTTGACTGAACAGGATAGCCACAAAGGGGGTTGATGGGGGGCGAGGAGATACAATCTACCAAGTCTACTATCTCACAAAACCTTACACCCCTTCAGGGAGGACCCATGAGCGCACGAGTAATGCCTATGCTGAATCCACTCGCCCCCCTCCTCACCAAAATGAGTCATGTCATGAGTGGCCGACAAGGCCTATGAAAGAGCCAGATATATGATCCCCAACGCTAAGGAGTTGTGAAAGTTGTCTCCTCCAAGGAATGCACAACCCATTAAAATGTCTGCCTAAACGATCCCTCGCCCCCTCCCAGCCTGCAGATTTGGTGGTATTTGGATTAACGGTGCAGACAGAGCTGCTGATTACCTTGAGGTGCCTGAAGCAGCAGCACTTCAGAGACAAAAAAACATGCTTCAATATATCACCTTAAAAAGGAAATGTCAACCCAGAATTTGGGTCAGGCTGCAAAACAGAAATGTGATTGAAAAGCAAAATAAATGCAAAATTAGGAGGGAATTCTACCATTTTAGATCTTGAAATTAAAATGCTCCAGCTTTCAAGAACACTTTTCCAACAAAGCCAAATCATTTCATCGTTAATTCTGATGAAGTGGTGAACAAATAAACAAGCATGAGTTACTGTATTTGTTCCAAAATAGTACATGGGTCTTGTGATGGGCATTTACAGTAATCTAAATACTTAAGTCCTTGCCTTATTTTATGAATGAGTATTCGCTAATTATATTTATTTTTTCCTTTTTTTTAAAGTTAAAAAATGATGGTCGGACATGGACCTCCCAGTAGCCCACTATGTTTCCTACTTTGTGGTGCTCATCAGTGCCGTGTGTCTGTAGGACAGCGGTCTTCAAATCCAAGTTCTGAATGAAATGACAAGCGATGGTAACATATGACTCCGTGTTGAGAGCTGTGTAGTAACAGACACATAGCAGTTCAGCTCCATTCTACTGCGCTCCTCAGACATTTTTCAGCTCTTGTTCTACGTGATGATGGCATATATTCCAGCTCGATAAACGCCATCAATTGCACAGAAGCTTTCTCCTTCCACAAAACTTAGTGGAGGCATATCTGCAGTCATCATATGGGTCATTAGCAGGTTAATCTTCTCCCCTCTGGTATCATCACAGTGACCTGTGCTAACAGTGCCAGCAAAGGATGTGATGTGATTCTGCTAGTTTCTCTCTTATTTTTAAGCTTTTGTAGTTAAGCATCAAAACTGTATTCATATGATATGCAAGTTTAATACCATGTATTTAACTGCATGTTATCATCGTTTATTGTTTTGTCTCGCCTTTTGGAGAAATGTGTCCTGTCCATAGACTGTAAATATTAGGTCCTGTCCCTGCATGGGTCCAAAAAGAATATTTTAGTGGTGTTGCAGAAATCTATTATGGGCTTCAATTTCTGAATTTCCCCGCTACGATACGAAAACAGAATTCAAAGTCTTGAGAAGGGGAACGTTTCCATGTTTGTTGCAAACTAGCAATAGGCCAAATAACTGTTTTGCAGGCAACCATTTTATCAGCTTTGTCATTATTGGTTTATCGTCTAGCTAATCTGGCAGCTTGATGAAAGAAAGTCTGACATTAACTAAGTTTTAGTTCTTTGTTTAGAGTTTTTTTTTTAAGGCCTCAACAAAAATATCTTGCTCTTTAGTTTCTAAATACTGTAATTAATTTGCTCATGAGTTACTAAGTTTGTCCATCTTCAGTTTGATGCTGGCTCGACAGCATATCGCTTTTCATAGATATACAAACACATTTGCTGAAGACACAATTGGGACAACTTCAGAGTAGGCCTGTCTCATAAAAAAACACCATTTAGGTTACATACTTTTGTCTAAAAAATATATTGATCATAACCACTTAATACATGTAGCCTACATGCTACATGTCTTTAATGTGAAATCCACACCTGAGGTCAATGTTCTCCTCTCAGTCTGTCTTGAGTTATGAAAACTGAAGGGAAAATCCTCCCCGCCACCTGAACTTTCACATTAATCCCCAATTGACATCATGGGATTATTTTTGTCACGGATCCTGCCTACACATACATGTATCACACACTTTGACCCGCAGCGTTGAGCACAGGCAGTTGACAAAGATGTGTCATCTCCGTGTGGTGAAGGAGGCGACTTCAAATACCAGAGTGCTAGTGAGGATATGGGGTAACCAACAACAGTCGGAGGATTGAGGTGTAACCAACACAACACACTCTTCACGCTCTCATTAATCACTTATCAAGGCCTTTGAATAGCTATTTATACGCCGGCCTGAATTACATGGCAGTGGAGAACAGAGAGGCCTACATATGTTGAAATAATATCTGATGTGGATGAATGAACGCTGTATTAGGTGGCATCAAGTTGACAAGTATGAAACTCTCAAAAATTCACATACAGGATCAATTTAAAAGGATGTTGGCACTCAAATGTGAAGGAATAGTTGGAAAATAGGCTACTCTTACATGCTTTCTTGTAGAGAAACAAATGACAGAAGCGACACTGTCAGGTCTGAATCTACAGCCGACATCTAGTTAGCTTAACAAATCTAGTCATAGTAACACGAGCAAACAGTGGAAAACACCTGGGCTGTGTCCGACACCACATAGCCTACATCACAGTGCCTACTAATAAATCAAAATATACACACTGCATACTAACAAGACCGTTAGTATGCCGTTAGCAATATGCTAAATATGCGCCACCCGACGTACTTTCAGTCTGAGCTCTGTTCGATGAGCTAGCATTAAGTTAGCTTGAGTAAAAGCAAATAAAATTCGACAACAATATGCAAGCGTTTATTTTTAATACAACTACGTGATCATTTTAATATTATCCGGCAACATGTAAAATGTATTTCATCATAGAGCTTATGTTAAGCCGCTAGTTGGCTAGCTGGCAAGCTCCTGTTTGTATAAATTTTGGCTGATCTAATGTTCGTCCAGGTATTTCTCGCAATCAAAAATGCATAGACCTACTACGATTTTGGATCATATGACATTATCAATTTGATGTCACATTTAGTATGAATAGTATGAAAGTATGCGCTTTCAGACACAGCCCTGGTCTCCGTCAAAAGGTAACAAAGTCCACCAACGAGCACCAAAAGCTCTTGATTAGCTGCATTTCCCAAAACTTAAGACAACTGACGCAGCTATAGTCGTTTCCCTCTGTTGCCTGCTAGCATTTAGCTAGCTTGTTACATATTGATTGTACAACATGAGAGATGTACATTTTCTCTTTTAACACTTTTTTGGGTGATAAAGTTTCAGTTATAATTTCAAAAGCTTAGGAGTCAGTAATCTGTTTCCTGTTTAAGCTAGCATCAAGCTAGCTTCTGGTTCTTGCAATGTTTTCCCGCTTCGTAAGGTTTCAGTCTTCTGATCTAACAGTGGAAGAGACCGCTAAATATGTTCATGACAAATATGTTGTAACTAACTAATATCAGTCCCTATGCATTCTCAGAAACATTTTGTTGTATTTATTTCAAAGGTTACATCTAATACTTCATTATTAGCAGTTACTCAACAAAAAAGGTCTGTATGCTTAACTCAATCGTTCTCATTTATCAATATCTTTATTTTCTTTGACACTATCAGACATCTACAGTTAAAACACAACATTTGGCAAAATACAATGATTTGGCAAAAAACTTCAACTGATTGACTCACTGATCATTTCAGTGAACTGGCAGAAAATGAGCATCACTGGAGATAACTTCATGTTCAGTCACACACAAAGATTTCATCCCTATCCATATTCAGTGTTTTTTAAGGACTCTCCAGCTAACTTAGGGGCCAGGTCAGACAGTATTCAGAGACATCCTGATTCACTCTCTGGTGCTGTGACACACTCAGGCTCCTCATGTTTGTTTTTGTGCAAAAATAGAGAGCGGGAGAGGGGATGAAAGAGACAGACAACACAGAAAAAAATCAAAATCTTTTGAGCTTCAAAGTCACCAACCACATTGGACAAGAAGTCTTTGTTTTCCTACATGAGTTTGGACTGTACAGTATGAAACCATGAGTGGCAGTTTCAGAAGTAATCTGTGGGGCAGCCGAGGCCTTGGATGACAGTTTTTTTTTTAACTCACAACATCTCCATCTAAGACAGGCATCAGCACAGTCAGCCACAAAACTCCACATTAATAAAAGTAATTTATCTCTGCTGCATTTTGGCAAGACTTTTTCAATTATGTCATTGCCAAAAAGATAACTGCCCACTCAAGAAAACAAAGAAAGAAAACAGTGTAAAGCTTTCTGCCTGGATGAAAACTTCCAACTCACATCACTAAAAAAACCATTGTCTCTGACGCTGTATTCCTTTTCAAGTGTTTCTCTCCATTTGCCTTGATTCACAGCCTTTTGAAGCACCAACATTTCTTTTAAAGATGCAGCGATGTCACATTCACTGCATGACAACACTGGCATGTTATAAAGAGATTTGAACATTAAAAATATATACAACACATTGTTTCGTTGTTGCAAACGCTGCTGGAGCTTCCTCAGTCTGGTGCACAATCAGGAATGATCAGTGTAACTGGGCTGGTTTGATCCAGGTGAAGATTCAGTACACTACAAGGTTTATATACAGGTTTCAATATGGCATTTGGAACCATATTTTGTAAGAAAAATAAGTGAATTCATCCTCATTTACAACAATGGTCCCTTTGAAAGTGAAGACATATCAAAATGATAATAACCTGAAACATGTTAGAGTACTTTGACCAAGAAAATGCCGGCTCATCTTGCATAAAATGTTGACATAGTTTCGCACAGTTACTTCTGTATAAACTGACTCTTCATGTCAATAGCTGCTGAGTGCTGTTGAGATGCATTGTTTGTGGATTGGCTGTTCTGACAACATTTAATAGCGATGTGTTTTATCTACAGATATTGAGTAGTGTGATCTTAAGTGGTGTAGGTTGGCTGGCAAGCCACACAACTGTAAACAGGAGCGTAAACAGAAAAAAATATTTCTCACATGCAACCTCTTAACTCGCCGAACAACACGGCGGAGTGATGATTCAAAGACAGAAATATGGATGATCTTGCAGTAACTGAGAGCATTTCACATTTTCCTTTACAGATCCCAAACATGTGGACAGAATCTCAGCTGGTCTGACTTCATCCTTATTCACATCCACTTGGCCCACATGGCATCATCCGCTTGATATTATTGAAAAGAAAATATGAGTGTAAATACATAAGGTCACATTGTGGGATGACAGTACAGTAGACACAATAAAATAGCTTAATCGAAGGTATGAGGGTGATGTTCGTTTTGTGCTCTTTCGCATCACTGTGTTCAACTCTAAATTACAGATTTCTGTAGATGAAATCATACTGCAACATAATGTGGTGTGTGGGAGTTTCATATTGCAGTACAATGGTTCTGTGCTGTATTATCATCATCATCCACCAGGATCCCACTGCTCCTCGACACATCACATGTGACAATGAACAATTCACAATAATATTAAAATAGAAACCTCCCTCTCACGGAGTGGAGTCACATCTGCTGTCAGAGACTACTGCGGTAATGATCACCATATGTCAACTACAGCCACATAATGTACATTATGTAAAAACAGTTGGATTAGAAGTGCAAATGCAAACTTATAAAAATATGGGGGGGGAAATGACGAATGCATATTTCCAAAAATACACCATATATATGACACAACTGAACTTCTTTCACATTTAAGTTCAGTAAACACTGCATAGGTGACAGCATCACTAGCACAGATGAGATTGTTTTAGTTATCTTATAATGCCTCACTGTAATAAATATTACATAAATATTTTCTATTTTAAAACCAGGCTCCCTCTGCAGCCAACAATAGTCTTATGAATGCTGTGTGCCATTTAATGTAAAGGTGATATTTAAGGAAAAAAGAAGAAAAAACCTTGCATCATGAATGATATCTGTTACACAGGAATATCCATACAAACGCTAACTCATCACACATTCATACTAATGTCAGGACAAATCATAAATTCAAAAAATAGCAGCAAATGTGGGCATTTTAAGCCAAATAAAGATTAAAATAGCAATAAAAATGAAGTGCATTGGTAATCCGTTAAAAATAAATAATAAATGAAAAACAGAAGGCAAAATAAGGCTTAGCAAAATTGGCTTGCAAATAAATAAAAAAAACAAGATGGATGTCTCACTGGGTCTCTGAAAAACAAAAAAAACCATTGGAGAGAACGGGACAGAACAGTGATGAACCTTCATGTTAACCGAAGGACAAAAATCTTAAAGCACTGCCTTCAATAACAAAAACAAGCACTGCATAGCCCTTCAGAGCACTATCCGCCCCAGTACCACTTGTCAAGGTTATTGAAAGACTTGTACTCCTTGTGCCTACGCAGGTAATCACACGCCAGGCATGTGTGCTCTGCCCAGAAATAGGCCTTCTTTACTTTAAAGTGCCGTCGCCACTCAAAGTACCTGAGGTACATTTCCTCGTTCTTGTCCAGGAGCAGCAGATAATCAGCCAGCTCCTTGGGTGAGGTGAAGTCGTCCACGTGGATGAAAGCGTCACCCTGGATGAAGTTCTCGTAGTTCTGCCTTGGCGGGCCGAGAACCACTGGCACGGTGCCCACCGAGAGCGGGTTGTAGAGTTTTTCAGTAATGTAGTCCTTGTGAATGGAGTTCTCGAAGGACAGGTAGAACTTACAGCTGGCCATGGTGGGGAAGTAGTCTTGGTCAGCGATGTACTCTCCGAAGGCTTGCCCGTACGCGTGAACCTCGATGTGTTTGTACAGCTCGTTGTAGTATTTCACGCGCACATGTTCCTGGTTCCAGTTGCTCACAATCCAGCAGATCAGCTTGTTTTTGCTGGGTGGGACAAAGTCCTCCTCGCCCTCCGCTGCTACGATGGACCCATAAGGCACTTCAATGTCAGCATCCTGACGATAGTTGAGAGTCAGATTGAACAGGTTCTCGATCCCAGGCAGCTGGGAGGAGTGGGATGGCGACTCTAAGTTCATCCATACCCATTTCTGGAAAGAAGGTCGCTGGATCGGTGGCAGGTTGGACAGATCGGTGCAGATGTCCCGGTGGTGGATGACGACCCCATCGGACTTGTTGAAGAAGTTCCTGTCCGCTGTGATGAAGCAGCCCTCGATGTTGAAGAGAGAGCTGCACACGCCCAGGTCATAGGTTTGTCCGAAAGGCCAGAGCCAGATCAGCACGGTGGTCACGTTTTTATCGCTCCTGGTGGAGAAGAGGTTCTTGACCCGGTCTGTGGATACCGTTGACTCTACGGGACCGGATAACCAGCTGGTGGATGGTTTAAAATACATCAAAAACAGAGTCACAAAGCATCCCAGAATGAAAGTGCCGAGCAGAAGGGGTCGTAGGATTCTGTGAAAAGGTGCAGATGGCATACTCTGTCCTGAAAGGGAAGATTGAAGGAAAACAGTGCCAGATTAAAGACATGATCAACAGGAAACAACAACCCCACTCATCACCATGTAAACCTGTTCGACATCAAACCATGGCTTAATAATTACTATCATGCTGGATCATTGGACCTGAACATAGTTTGTGCATTAATTACAGCCTGCAAGCATCTGCATGGGAACAAAGTGTTTTTTTACTCATGCTATATATACGAGAATACGCCCTGCACCCACGACTTCCAATCAATCCTCCCAAACAAAATGTGAAGCCTCTTCAGGCTCATTATGTTACCAACCTTGTGGATTTGACTGAATCCTGAAATCCAAGCACGAATCGAGGCCGGGGAAATCGGAGGGAGCAGTTCCTACATGGAGTCGAGGGTGGGATCAATCTTCTTTGTGATTCAGAGCTCATAGGCAAAAGAAATGTGTAGGTCACAACTAAGACAGGCTTCTTTGCTCTCACCCAGAATAACAATGATCTAAATGAGGTGTGTTTGATCTGGAATGTAAAGGTCTTCTTAATGATGCCTCCTTTACGTGAGCAGAAAGAGAGAATCAGAGACATTCAATTAGTGCTAATGCATCCATGAAGGAAAAGCTTTATCAATCAACATGCAGAGATAGGCTTCATCTTCACCGACAAATCTTTCATATTAGCTGGAAAATAGAATGGAAACACTGAGGTTATTGCAAAAACAAATTGCCAGGTACTCTTGAGTGCTATTTCAAATTTGCTGGTTAAGCATGGGTGTAAGCTTCCAGCTGTTATTAGTTGTGCAACATGTAATGTATGAGAATACTGCCATCTTAAGGCTGGGGAGAGGAGAAAGGCCCCTTGACTCTTCAGCTCTCTAGGGCTCAACACACCTGCAGGTTGCATAAAGATAGGCAAAAGAAAAGGCAAAACAGACCTTTAGAGAGGACTTTCATCGTTTCATAAATCACATTTTTATTACAGATTCTCCCCAAATGAAATGTCAAACATGACATATGGTGAATCATTTTGGCCGTATGTACGACAGCCCCCCTTCATCTCTCCCATCTGTGACTTTGGTGCACAGATCTGCGCACAGAGGCCACACAAATCAGTGCCAGATAAGTGCAACTCCTTTTAAAGGCTTATGGTATCAATACACTTCATGTTTGCAAATCCTCTTATAATGCTGAAACATGTTTTCTGCCGGCAGCAGCGATAAGCCTGTGCCTCACAGAAGATGCAGCCCATGCATACCTTTTTTTTTTTTTATATATATGTCGGTGTAAAATATGCAATGTAGATTCAGAAATGCTGAGGAGTATCTATGGCAGTGCACAGATCAAAATCTATTAAATATGCAGTGTGTGGTAAAGTTATAGTGTCTCCATGGTGATGGTGCTGAGGTCAGAGTATTTAACATGAGGTGGTAATGTTTTCCTCTTTTCTTTCTATCCATGTACACAAAAAAAAAAGATTTAAGGGATGCATGTGAGACTCAAGCATTCATGCAGATTTTTAATAGCATAGCCTGGGTTTTTTTGTCAAATGCGTTCTGATGTATTTAGGACAGAGAGAGAGAGAGAGAGAGAGAGAGAGAGAGGGAGCACCGCATGGGTGAGTAGTCTGCAGAGAGGCTACGTTTGAAAAGACTGTGGAGAGAGGCAGGGAAAAAAAACGCAGCCACTGATTTTTGCAGCATCAGTCACAGAGATGCATCAAATCCCTGGCGTGCTTTCATTGACAGGTGGGCTAAAGGGTGATGGGAAAAACGCTCATGTGCTGCAAAAAAAGGCATTTGTTTTCTATTCCCCCCCCCCCCGTGATTTAGCCTGTGTGTAGCCTACTCTGTCTGTCAGGAAGGCCACATCAGTGATTGCAAAAGGACACTTGATCCCAGGTGAGAATCAATTTGCAGCCATCGAGCACTGAAGGTCATTTTAAAAACGTGACGCTATATGGTCCACTTTACAATGGTTGTCTTTTGGCGTCCATCTAACTTGATGGACTGCACAGTTTTGTGCACCAAAAAAAACGCGCAGAATATAAAATATACGCGGGGAGGATGATGCTGGAAAAATGTCACATTCAATGGAGAAAAAAAACAACATTTCACATAATCGCCCGGTGCACTAAGACTGTATGTAGAGAAATAAAGAGCAAAAGGAAAATGTGAAATTTCTCTGACATTTTTTTTAATTAGCTCGTGAAGATTTGCTGTCAAACCCAGGTAACCTGCCGCTGCTCATCCATGGGGTGCAGAGGAGGGGAAAAAAAAAAACCACATAGCCATGCATTTCACTCACCATCTCGACAGGCGTGAGTCAAAATAGACCTTTCTTCTCATTTCCTCCAGAGGTCCGTCGCTTCCCCCCCCCCCTATTCAAAGACACTTTGCAACGTACGGAAGATGCGGATGCGTTTGGAATAAAAAACCGCGTCTGTCCGCCGTTTTTGCAGCAAAAGATCCGGATGAAGCTACATCCATCGTCTTGACTCCACAAAAAAATGATGGTACCTTACTGTAGCAAATGTGCGCCGATTCTGCCCCCCCCAAGTGATGCACACCGACGCAGAATATGATGGCTGCAAAAAAAAAAAAAAATGTGCAGCTACCCCGTCAGCCTGCACGTTAAAATCATGGCTCGGTGTGTGAAGACGCCATGTATGCTCAGGGATGTGATGCGATGTGGAATAATTCCCTGCTGGCTGCCCATGCGCTACCTTGCTCTGTTTACCGTCAATGCAGCTGCAGGCTGTGGCGGAGCTCCAGTGTGTGCGCGTTTCAGCGTGTGTGTGTGTGTGTGTGTGTGTGTGTGTGTGTGTGTGTGGGGGATGCTGAGATTCAGCGTTAGAGCATATTACACTTCAATCATCTGCTCAAGGTTCTCATTGAATAAACAGGTGATTCATTGCTGCTGAGAGGAAACACGGACCAAAAGGTTTCCCCTCACTTAGCCTGGCTCCACCGTTTATCCAAATAGTAGAAAAACTGTTTTTTTTTTTGTGTGTGGTTTTTTTTCGTGTTAAACCACTGGCAGCACTGTGACCGCCTGTCAGTGGTGATACTGCAACACAACCACTAATTGTATCAAGCATCAGTTAAGTAATTCATGCCACATTTTTACTCCTATCACTGCCATGAACGACAGATTGATGTCTCAGTATACGCAGGGTTGGTTTCTGATTCTACAAAGAGGCACTTGAGCTTCCAAATGTGTCCATTACGGCACCATTAAACCAGTTCTGACTATGAGCTCATAATTAATCATTCAAAAGGGACGCTCAAGCCATTCATTTTTGCACATCCGTTAAGTTGGGGGACTTAAAGAGACAAGTGAAGTTGCAAAAACCATTGGATACTCCAACAGTGCAATGTTATGTCCTTCATTAAACCATTGTGCTGTATGTTAAAATACTCTGTGATTTTCTTGATGACCGCAGCAGAAACATTTGTATTTACAATGTAGTAAATGAGTTTTTGAACATGCAGGACTCAGTACGTATACTTGCAGTTAGAATAAGTCGATGTATTGTGTTATATCCGGCTAAATCTGGACTTTTACAAATACATGTGAGCATGTTAGACCGACTGAAACTGTACCGAATCGAATTTCTCAAAGTCGGACTTAAACACCTTGATAACACAGTAAGAGATCAATTTACTCTTGAATTAAATACGCCTCAATCAGACCCAAACTGGTCTAAGGCTTTCTGCCCGTGCTGGGCTTCTACCCCGAAGTGGAACATGATTTGTGCTAATTAAATGATCTAATCAAGCTTTAAGTGTAGCTCAAATTAAACTGTGCATGAAAAAGTATACTGACTGTTGTAATGCAAATATTAAGTATGCTCATCTGAACTGGGAGCTTCCTTTTTCAGAGCTCATAGTTTTGCAGTCTGGCAACTTTACTGTTTTGTATCACATGCATTCCCTTTCAATGAGTAATACTACCCTCCCAGGTGATATTGATATGAACTTGGTATTTTTAGCTCATATAGTGACACAGATTAAAAGTTTTCACCTAAAGGAAATCTCAAAGAAATATAGGAAGAGCGTGAAAGTGACACATTCACAAAGAAACACTTTGACACCATGTACCATTCTCCATGTGGTCAGAACATTCAAGAGAAGGTCAACTTTTCTACTTTTGTTGTCAACATGATTCATCTCAGATTTTAAAAAGTGACGTGACTTTCAAACAGCAGATCTATGTTGTGTTTCTCTTGTGCTGTTTTTTTAGACTGAGTCAGAGATGGAAGCAGAATGAGGCGACAGCTTTTCACCGGCAGACTGCTTTGTTTATTTGTGTCTTTCACTCTTTTTTCTTTACAGGGTGCATCTGACATTTCTTTCTATAAAGGTTTAATACAGTCACAGATTACAGGAACACCTGAACATGCCTTTCCACAGTTTCAGCCGTGCACAGTGGAGACGGTGATTTATCATACTGATTGTGTTAGAAATCCAAAACATGTTCAAGGATGTGTAAACAAGAAAAATTAAACCAATTAATTCAAGTGGAATGAAATCACATACATCACCACAGTCCAAATAAAGACAATCTGGTCCACTTTCCTGCAGCTTTGTCAATCATTCAGGTGAACTCATCTAAGTGTTCAGTTTGTTGTGCAGTCTTAACTTAATTTACTCTTCTTGTTATTATTTTATACCACCATAAATAAACATTTGCTATGGCTTACAGCCGCATCATTCCTGCCATTTTCGTCGCTCACCCCCAAATATGGCAGCCCACTTGCGAGTTATCTCTAGGTAGATTGCAGGTTTATTGGGCAGGTAGTCCAGGTAAACAGTCAGGCTTGTTTTAGGAGTCGCCATCTCAATCTGAGTGCCCTCGTGCCATTCGTTAAAAGATGTGATCGAGATGAAGTCGGGACGGGCTTGTAACGCAGCACTCAGGGAGGTTTCATAATACTTGCCGTTGATGCGGTTTCGGGTGTTTTGGAAGTTCCAGGGTCGGATGCTCGTGTCTATGTACCCTGGACCCACACTCGGGATGAATATCAGGTTGTTGTCTTCGCAGAATGCTTTAATAGAATCCCAGTTCTTCTGAGTGGATCCATAGGAAAAGCCATTAGTGGCAAAGTAAGTATACAGACCATCAAAACCAGCAGTTAGGATGTCCCTCTTGTGTTTCTCTTCAACCAGCAAAGCGATGAAGATGGCATCATACGGCGTGTCCCTGATGCTGTTACTCTCGGTGTGTTTGAGCAGCTTGGCCCATTGCTCAGAGTTCATCAGATACGAGTCATACACGTAGAAGAGTGGGAGCAGCTTGCCAGTGTTTGTCCGGTACTTGAAGAAAGCAGGGTGCTCTCCGTATCTGAGACGAGGAGATAAACAAGATCAACGACAACAAAGACAGCGTCACTGGAGTAGAAGGAAGGGATCAAACATGATAATAACAGATCAGTTAAATGAATCACAACAGAATGGATACTCAACGATCTTCAGGCTGATATTCAGTGGGTACGGAAAGTATTCAGACCCCTTTACATTTTTCACTCTTTGTTTCATTGCAGCCATTTGCTAAAATCAAAAAAGTTCATTTTATTTCTCATTAATGTGCACTCAGCACCCCATCTTGACAGAAAAAAAACAGAAATGTAGAATTTTTTTGCAAATTTATTAAAAAAGAAAAACTGAAATATCACATGGTCATAAGTATTCAGACCCTTTGCTGTGACACTCATATTTAACTCACATGCTGTCCATTTCTTCTGATCCTCCTTGAGGTGGTTCTGCTCCTTCATTGGAGTCCAGCTGTGTTTAATTAAACTGATTGGACTTGATTAGGAAAGGCACACACCTGTCTATATAAGACCTTACAGCTCACAGTGCATGTCAGAGCAAATGAGAATCATGAGGTCGAAGGAACTGCCCAAGGAGCTCAGAGACAGAATTGTGGCAAGGCACAGATCTGGCCAAGGTTACAAAAGAATTTCTGCAGCACTCAAGGTTCCTAAGAGCACAGTGGCCTCCATAATCCTTAAATGGAAGAAGTTTGGGACGACCAGAACTCTTCCTAGACCTGGCCGTCCAGCCAAACTGAACAATCGTGGGAGAAGAGCCTTGGTGAGAGAGGTAAAGAAGAACCCAAAGATCACTGTGGCTGAGCTCCAGAGATGCAGTAGGGAGATGGGAAAAAGTTCCACAATGTCAACTGTCACTGTGGCCCGACGGAAGCCTCTCCTCAGTGCAAGACATATGAAAGCCTGCATAGAGTTTGACAAAAAACACATGAAGGACTCCCAGACTATGAGAAAGAAGATTCTCTGGTCTGATGAGACCAAGATTGAACTTTTTGGCTTTAATTCTAAGCAGTATGTGTGGAGAAAACCAGGCACTGCTCATCACCTGCCCAATACAATCCCAACAGTGAAACATGGTGGTGGCAGCATCATGCTATGGGGGTGTTTTTCAGCTGCAGGGACAGGACGACTGGTTAGAATTGAAGGAAAGATGAATGCGGCCAAGTACAGAGATATCCTGGAAGAAAACCTCTTCCAGAGTGCTCAGGACCTCAGACTGGGCCGACGGTTCACCTTCCAACAAGACAATGACCCTCAGCACACAGCTAAAATAACAAAGGAGTGGCTTCAGAACAACTCTGTGACCATTCTTGACTGACCCAGCCGGAGCCCTGACCTAAACCCAATTGAGCATCTCTGGAGAGACCTGAAAATGGCTGTCCACCAACGTTCATCATCCAACCTGACAGAACTGGAGAGGATCTGCAAGGAAGAATGGCAGAGGATCCCCAAATCCAGGTGTGAAAAACTTGTTGCATCATTCCCAAGAAGACTCATGGCTGTACTAGCTCAAAAGGGTGCTTCTACTCAATACTGAGCAAAGGGTCTCAATACTTATGACCATGTGATATTTCAGTTTTTCTTTTTTAATAAATTTGCAAAAATTTCTACATTTGTTTTTTTTTCTGTCAAGATGGGGTGCTGAGTGTACATTAATGAGAAATAAAATGAACTTTTTTGATTTTAGCAAATGGCTGCAATGAAACAGAGTGAAAAATGTAAAGGGGTCTGAAAACTTTCCGTACCCACTGTATATATATTTTTTTAAAGGTTGATTTTGAGGTTTTTTAATCCTTTATTTAGAGATGGGACAGTGGATAGAGTCTGAAATCTGAGAGCGAGTGGGGAAAAAGCGGGAAAGGAGCCACAGGTCAGATTCAAACCCGGGCCGCCCACTTGGAGGTCTTTAGCTTCTGTAAATGGGACGCACCCACTAACCACTATGTGCCCAGAACCCCAATCAGGCGCTGAAATTTGAGCGAAAACAGCAACACCTACTTGTCTATGATGTATTTGACATTAGTGAACATGTTGACTTCATCTCTTCCTTTGTAGGGTTCGATGTGGAAAATGACCTGATAACACATCAATGACAGAAACAGAAAAGGTTTCGTTTGGAGAATAATCTGTACTTTGAAGGATATTTGTACATCTAACTTTTAGTCCAATACTAAATACAAATCCAAACTCACTCATCTCCTGATACAGACCTTAATGTGGTATTTATGTGCCACTTCCATCAGTAAAGGCACCAAGGCATCTGTTGGATCA